GGGGAGCCACTCTGTAAACCAGGCCCCCCATTTCCTATCCCAGCTCTGCTCTTGCTCACAGGCATCGGGACGCCACACATCGGGTTCCCGCCTCAGAGACGGCCCCGTTCATGTGGCCAAATGACCTTACAGCACTGAGGGAACCTCAACCCATCACATGTGCTTTGGATGCACCGTGGAAGACCAGGGACGCCGTGCTCACCGCGCAGCAGCACTTCCTGCGAGGAGGCAGTCTTCGCCCACCCTCAAGTCTGGTGTCTTTAGCACTACAGACGACATTGCTCAGCGCCGTTCGCTGAACACAGCCGTGAAGAACCAGCTCTCCACTTTCTCCTGCGTCGGGGAGCCTTCCCGTTTGTGCTGCACACCAGGCTGCAGTGCTAATCGCACTTGGTGCGGCGCCTCGAGCACCGGGATCCAACACGTTTAATACAGCCGGCCTTGAGAGGGAGTTGGTGCACTCCGGGGACCTGGCTGGGTTGAAGGTAAGGGCCCTGAGCTTCTTCACACCTTTCTTCTTGGACAGTCCCAGCGTGGGATGAGGGGCACCCACAGACCCCGCAAGACTGGGAATCCTGTGAGAGCTCTGTCCTCTGTCCCCTGAACTCTAACGCACCCCGTGCCTATAACTCAAGCATTCGCGTGCCACTTCTTTGGCAGTGCGCCAAACGGTGCTATTTTGGGGCAGCCCATCGATAGGAAATTTGTGGGCTCACCCAAGTACCGGACAGCGCCTCTCCCAGGTGGTGGAGGAGCAAGCAAAGCCATAGAGGCTACTTCTCCAAGGGGGCGTTTACACGGCAGGGCTTAACTTGAAATAAGCTACACAAGTCGAGTCACCTCCATTGCATAGCGTGTTTTGAAATCGGGAGTGTCTACGCAGCACTTATTTGGAAGGAGAGCTCTCTTCCTCCGACTGCCCTGACTCCTCGTTCGAGGAGGGTCCCAGGAGTCGAGTCAGACGTCCTCCAGCTGGACAGGATTGTGACGCTGTTTCGAAATAGCTGCCTGCTGTGTGGACGTGGACTACGTTATTTCGGAATAGCGCTGGTTGTTTTGAAACAGTGTTGAGTGTAGACATACTCTCAGTGGCTGCAATAGCCCCTCAGTCCCAACCAGGACCTGGCACGAGGGAGAACGAGGTGACCCATGCCACGCCGAGGCTTCCCGCCTTGCTCCACCTGCAGCGGCAAAACTTGAAATTTCTCAGGTCTTGGGAGCCAGCGCAGAACGTGGCTCTGGCCACATAGGAAGCTGTACTCCCTGTGCGGTCCCTAAATCCATCCCCCTCGCTGCTGCTTTGGTTCCACTGAGAGCAAGCTGTGGGAAGGGGAGGCTTGCAGGGAGACGGGGAGCAAGACTTGGCCATAATCACTAGTCCGATGTGCTTTGGTTGGGAAGCTGTCCGGAGCCAGGCCGCTCGAGGCAGGGACGACGGCAACAGCGACTTGTACGTTAAGCCTTTAATGCCCACTTATACTAGTTCAGCTGAAGGGGCGGAGCTTTGCAGGAGAAATCGCTGTGCTCCAGAGCGCCAGTCAAGTGAAAGAGGCCAAAACCAGGCCAACTGAAGAGCAAAATAAAATACGTTTGGTAGCAAAACCCTAAGTTCTTTCAATCAGCCCGTCCGTGGGAGGCATCAAGGCCTCGTGGATGGAGCAGTGGGCGGAGGCGCCGGAGAGCTGGATTCTAGTCCTGGTTCCGCCCTACCTGCTGGGTGACCTTTGACAAGACATGTCACCTCCCAGCCGCACGACAGTGACACTGCCCTCCCTTGTAAAGAGCTTGGAGAGCGGCTAATGACTGGCGGATGGGGTTAGTACGTGCCGAGAGCCGAGTGTCCGCGGTCTGCCAGCCCCACCCACGCCCGCCGGGCTGGTGACGCAGACAAAGCTGGAGCGGTTTGTGATTAGACAGTATTTCTTGGGTGTGTTCAGTACCCTCGAAGGCAGGCCCACGGACGGGGGCAAAGGAGGCATTTTGCCTCCGGGCCGGCAATTCAACAGGGCCTGGGGCTCCCAGCTGCTGCACTGTAACAGCAGTGGCTAGAGCCCTGGGCCGTTTAAATCTTCCCCAGAGCTCCTTGCCATGTGCTCCGGGTGGCTCCGATGGCTGCCTGGAGGGTGGGCGGGCCAGCATGGCGCACTCCGGGGGCACTGAGGGCTGGCTGCCCCCAGCCCTGCTTCTTCTGAAAGCACAGAGCCACCCACCTTCCTCGGGGTCCCGGCAAGCCTGTTGCCCTCCCGCCTGAAGGTTCTTCCAAAAGACTCTTGTATAAAGCACCCACGCTCCTTGGGGGTATTTGTGGCCAGTGTTGGTGCCTGGGAAAATGCATCGGGCAGTGAAAGGAAATCGCTTGCCACTCCGTTCGCCGGGCAACTTCTGCAGCTTCAGAAGGAGACAGCCGGGCTTTCAAAGGGCCCGGGTTCAACCAGCACATCCCTGCCGCCATGGAGGGTGGAGACCTGGATGGGGAGCGAGCGAGCGAGCCACGCCCTGCCCTGGCTGGAGGAAGGGAGCTCGTTTGACTCGCCGCAATGGAGAACGCTTAGCTTGCACCCACCCTCCTAATGATAGGCCACGCATAGCTGGTGCACACGCCCCGTCAGAACCGTGCCGGCATGAGGATTGGCTGCCGAGGTGTCCATCGTGGAGATGAAAGAGGCCCAGATGTTAATAGCCAGCATGACAACAGTACAGCTCTCAGCTCCATCGGGCTCTCCACAATCCGGCACTCTTATTAATGACCCAGAAAACACCCAGGAATCCTCACAGATAAACAGACGGCAGAACGAGGCGCAAGGGGCTCACACTGCAGTGGGGGAGGCCTAGGTTGGAGATTAGGAAAAACTCTTTCCTTAAGCGGGTGGGGAAGCGCTGGGATGGGATCCCTAGAGAGGGGGTGGAATCTCCATCCCTAGAGGTTTTTCCAATTTGACACAGCCCTGGCTGGGTTGATTGATTTGGGGCTGGTCCTGCCTTGGGCTGGGGGCTGGACTCGGTGACTCCTGAGGGCTCTGCCCACCTGGGTTTCTAGGATAAATCTTGCTGGTGGCTCAGAGATTGAGAGTGGCAAACAAAGGAGAGGGCAGGTGAACGAGGAGAGAAACCATGGAGGCATGAGTGAACCGGGCGCGAGCAAAGACGGTGCACGGGCACATGGCTCCATGGAAACGTGTCCATCTAGGAGCAGAGGAACCAGGCCACGCTTCCGCACGGGGGACTCTCGCCTGGGCAGCAGGGCGCTGAAAGAGACGCCGCATCCTGGGGGATGAACAGCTCAACAACAGGGCGGCAGCCAGAAAGGCGAATACGACTGGTGGTTGGGTGTGTAAACAGGGAAACTCGAGTAGCAGCCGAGCGGTTACTTGACCTCCGTGTTTGGCCCGGGCGTTCAGTCCAGTTCAGTGTGGGCGCCCACCACTCAAGCAGGATGCTGGTAAGTTGGAGCGGGAGCAGAGAAGAAACTCGCAAACAATGAACGGATTAGAAAAAGCCTGCCTTCTAATGACAGACTCGTAGAGCTCAGCTTCTCTGGCTTCCGAGCCTGGGTATCTCCATGGGGAACAAATTCCTAATACCGGGTTCTGCCGAGTGGCGGAGAAAGATGTAACAAGATCCACAATTCGGGCTGGGAAGAAGGCTTGTGCTTTTACCAGCGAGGGCAATTAAACCTGAGGGCCGGGGCGGCTGCTCCGTCACAGCCATGGGTTAAATCGACAGGGGGCGGTTTTGTCAGAGCTCTGGGAACTGTCTGTGCTCTCCAGGGGGACAGACCAGATGAGCACAAGGGGCCCTTCTGGCCTTGGACTCTGGCTCTATCTAACCAGGCACCTACTTGCTTCCGTTCCCGAGTCTTGGCTCCCACCGGTCTCGTGCGGAACCAGCCTCTGAGTCCGCCTTCTCCCCACCCATGAGAGCACGGGCCCCACTGCAAGCTGCCGAGACCCATCCCCCTGGCCGCGCAGCCTGTGCGGGTGAGCCCCACGCTGGCATAAGGGGATAGGCGCCTCATGCAAATGACTCATTGTAACCCACATGAATGCCCCATGAGGTAGGTCCTGGGGAGCAGTGTCCTCATCACTCCCGTCGCCCGGGGATCCCGAGGTGCTAAGGTGGCTGGCTGGTGCAGTGCTGCCCTGTCGCTGCCTCCGGGCATTCCTCAACACGCTCGAAAACGTGCGGTCTGCTCCCTGGGCTCTGGGCGAACCCTACGGAGAGTTCTCCAGAAAGAGCCCTTCTTTTTCCTCCCCAGCGAGCTGTAAGGGCCCTGGAGTGGGACCCCAGCCCCACACACAGCTGAATGGCTCCCTGCTTGCTGCGACTCACGGCTGCCTCCTCCGTGGGCGCATGGCCCCTGGCTTTGTGACTCTGCAGAGCTCATTCATTACCTCAAACCAACCCAACAATGGAAGCAGCTGCTGCCTGTGTGTGACAAGCTCCTCAGCAGGGGCGAAGAGGCAGGGTGGGGGACCCAGGTGGGGGACCCTCCCATATCCACATGCCGACATACACCTGCTGTTAACGCCGGGGGCGGGCAGTCATTTTTGCAGGGTGGCCACTTTGCAAATTTTGATCTGCACTTGCGGGCTGGCTCCGCCCCCTGGAAGGGGCAGGACCTCAGACGGAAGGGGCGGGGCCTCAGGTGGAAAGGGGCGGTTCCCTCTAGGCACCACGCACCCCTGGCGGGGGGAGGGAGCCATTTTGAACAGCGAATGATTTGGGGCACTCCCTGCCCCCAGGTCTCCATTGGCCTGGGGGCAGGGGAGCAGCATGGTGGGCTGTGGCCTGGATCAGATGGCTTGGTGGCCCATGGGCTGTATCTTGACCACCTGTTGTTTGCTCGCTCCGGGTCATATCTGCACATGCCGTTACTCAGCAAAGAAATCTGTCCGGGATCCACTCCTGGGAGCGGGGGAGGCTAAGCTGCCTGGTGACCTGCAGCCAGACCTGAGCTTGACTAAGATTCTCAAACACGCCTAGGGATGTGGGGTCCCTCAGCTCCGGGCACCACACGTGAAGGAGAATGTGCTGAGTTCCCACGCTCCACAACTCAAGCTCCCGCGAGGCCCACAGGATCACAGGCCATGCTCCGAAAACGACAGTCAGGCTTCCCAGCGGGACCGGGAGTGGGAACGGGGCTATGTGCCAGTCCGTGTGGTTATTTCAAACACTGCGGCGAGATGAATGTCTTGTTAGGGCTGCGTGCCAGTCCATGTGGTTATTTCATCCTTGAAACACTGCGGCGAGATGAATGTCTTGTTCCTTAGTCCCTAGACTTAGCAACCTGTTTAACTGTGAAGTGTTGAAACAACAAACCACCTCTATACCCAGAACAGGCCACTACCAGGATGTACAGTTAATCATTACGAACCCCCACAGCTGTTTGGAACAATTAGTAACAAGCCCATTTGCCCTTTAAGGAATATTTTGTCCAATTTCTCCTTCTGATTTTTTCCTCAGATCCCCTCAAGGCTTTTTAAGGTAAACGGTTCAGAGGATCACACGGGAGTCTAACTCAACAAGTATACATCCGGTGCCGAGAAAATAAATCCCTTCTATCCCTTTAAATAAACACCGCCGCTTTTTCCTTTTGCCCTGAGGAAAAGGTATGTACAGCCCTTATAGAACACACAAGAGCTTCCAAGAGAGCCGTGGGAAGGGGGCTGGACTTGATGGCCTTTAAGGTCTCTTCCAGCTCTATGGTTCTATCATAATCACTACTCGGGGACCATCTGCAGAAGCTGGACTCTGCTACAGACAGTGTCCATGGAGATGTAACTGCCAACAGGGTGACACTGTTGCAAAAGAAGCAAACACAATTCTGGGCTGCGTTAACTGGTGTGTTGTGAGCAAGACGCGAGACGTCATTCTTCCGCTCTGCTCTGCGCTGGTTAGGCCTCGGAGTCTTGTGTCCTGTTCTGGGCGCCACATTTCAAGAAAGATGTGGAGAAATTGGAGAGGGTCCAGAGAAGAGCGACAAGAATGATGAAAGGTCGAGAGAACATGAGCTAGGAGGGAAGACTGAAAGAACTGGGCTTGTTTAGTTTAGAAAAGAGAAGACTGAGAGGGGACATGATAGCAGCTTTCAAGTACCTAAGGAGGGAGGAAAATTGTTCATCTTGGCCTCTGAGGACAGGACAAGCAGCAATGGGCTTAAACTGCAGCAAGGGAGGTTGAGGTTGGACTTTAGAAAAAACTTCCTGCCAGTCAGGGTGGTTAAACACTGGAATAAATTGCCCAGGGAGGTTGCGGAGTCTCCATCCCTGGAGATATTTAAGAGCAGGTTAGACAGACACCTGGCAGGGATGATCCCGACCAGGCATGTCAAACTGGCGTGTGGCAGGCTGCATTCAACTCCATCCAATTTTTTTGCGGCCTGCCAGTACATTTTTATAAAGGAATAAAGTGTGGCCCACTGGCCGCTCGGAGCACATGCCTGAGTGCAGATCCCAGCCGGCCAGGCCGCTCTGCACTGGCCAGGCCGCTCTGCACATGGCGCCCAGCACGTGCTCATGGCTCGCCAGGCCGCTCTGAGCATGGCGCCCCAGTGTGCCTGAGCAACGGCGACTCTGGGACCCAGGTATTAGGTTGGGGGGTTGGGAGTGCCTGGTTGTGGGGGAGGGGAGAGGCATTGGATGTGGGGGGAGCGAGCTCTGGGGTAGGGGAAGGCATTG